AGACAAACAAACAGACAGATGAAATTCTACAAGTATAGATTCGGCCTCTGTAACGATAAGTCTATCAGTCAGAATTTTATTAAATGCTTACTTTGTTTAATGTTTGTTTATCCGACTTTTGAGAAGAGGTATTTAATTTTATTGTGTTTATTTATTTTGTTTATATGTTTCGGGATGCCTATCTAATAATTAATTATCTTTACAAATTAGAGGAGGTCTATTCTGTAATAACTTATTTCGAAAGCTGAATCCGCAAGCGTATTTCATACAGTTACAGTACGAAATATAATAATATTAATATTTAGAGATCGCCCATCACGAATTTCAATTTTCCATAGAAATAGTACGGAAAAGTTATTACAGAATAGACCGGTAATTTCAGGTTTTTAAAACACTACAATTTTAGACAAAAAGTTATTTTTAAAACCTGTAAGCCTGATTCTTATTTGCTGATTCTTACTTGTTTATTTAAGGAATATTAAACTTGTACTCTTGTAGTTAAACTTTCTGCGGTAGATTTCAACGTCTCAAATGTCGGGTTCAAATTATAGAAACAGCAGTTCCTGACGTGATAGAATATGGGACATAAAATACCAACTCCATTTAAATTATCATGTACACGAGTTTAATATCTCGCTCGAAATTTAATAAAATTATAAAATAATAATATCCGTAAAACCGTCTACACGTAAATCTATTTACCATTTTCAAACACACAAACATACGAATGAACAAAATATAAGCTGATGATTTGATATCCTAAATAAACCACAGAATCAAATAAACAAAACACCACGCAAATATGACGCCATATTACTTTAGTATATGCGTTAAATTAAAATGTCGATATGATATGGTCGAAATTCGACCAAAATCATTATTGAAAATTTGAGGAATACATATATGAATAGAATTTACCTATATATATATATATATATATATATATATATATATATATATATATATATATATATATATATATATAAACGAATAAAAATATTTATTTATATCACTAAAGCTTGTCAACAGCTACTAAACAAAAAAAGAAAATCAAACCGAAGATAGTTTTATATAAAACTAACAACTCACCCGCTTCACTCGGGTTCGTCCCTACGTTGCTTCCCCATACAAACTTTCATCCCCATTTTCATCCCCTTAAGGAATGATGTCCGGGATAAAAATTATCCTATGTCCTTCCTTTATCTCAAACTATCTCCATACTAAAATTCATCTAAATCGTTTCAGCGGATTATACGTGATAAGGTAACAAACAGGCTGACAGACAAAGTTACTTTCGCATTTATAATATTAGTATGGATGGAAATAACAAGTCTAAGGAATAATAAAACTTATTCATACGTTAATTTGAAAATATTCAACTTTTCTTTTCGTTATACAAAGATTGAATAATTCGTTTGATTTACTGCGAGCCAATTACGTATGTCAAACACTGACTCAGCTGAATGAACGCAGGACTATGCCTTTATGATGTTTACTTCGCGCTATCATTGCGCAAAATGGTTTTATGGGCTCTGAATTTTTAAAGATTTTTATTATAAATCTTCTATAATTTCTGAACAGATAAAAATTGCAAGCGCTCCCAAAATTTCTGCGCTGGAATTAAGGATTAGAGGGTCATAACCTATCAATACTATAATAAAACAGTAGAGGTCGAATGTCTGTACATAGAAAAAAATGATAAAAACCGAGTCAGGGGGATGTAAAAAGACAAATAAAACAAATCCAGTTTTTTTCCAATTTTTTGTTTCTCGGTCTGTTTATATGTTTGTCTGTTTGTACGGGCTAATCTCCGAATCTATTGGACCCATTTAAATGAAATTTTGCATATTGGTACATTAAATTCCATCTTAGATACTTTTCATCCCGGAAAATTAAAGAGTTCCCGTGGGATAGTCAAAAAACTATAGTAATTTATACAGCTTAGTACTCAAAAACTACTGATTGGATTTTAATGAAACTTTATAGTAATATAGTTCATACATCAGAATAACAAATATGTTACTTTTTATCCCGCAAAAATGAACGGTTTCCGTGGAACAGATCTGTTTGTGCTTTTCTATAGGCGAACCTGAGCGAAGCGAGGGTGAGCCGCTAGTCTTATGTTAATAAAAATGAATGATCGTATGTTTGTCCTCTATGCGTTCCTAAACAATTGATTTGATTATGATGAAATTCTGGTGGGTTATTTTGTATACGCATGTAAAGGTTCATGGCATAAGAAAAAAAATTCTTTGGACGTTTGTCTTTCATGCGTTCCTAAGCCATTCAAGCTTAGGTTGCGCACACACCGACGCACCCAAATGAAGTGAGGGTAAGTCATTAGTATATGTTAATATTTTAGTAGTCTAGTCGAGAAGCTAGACTACAGTAGAATAATGAATTTTCACGTCCAACGTACACAAATTCAACTGATAGTTGATCCATTTTCCTAATCAAGTAGGCAAGTTTAATTTACAAGGCAAGTACATAAAAATTCAATTATAAACAAAAATCATCAAAGTACTAAATAGAAAGTGCTTCCAAACTTTGTCAAAAAATATTCTATTTATTTATTAGACGAAATTTAACAAAATTTTATAGGCTTAGGACTAGCATATAATTATATCTGAAACATTATAACACAGAAGAAGGTAAACATAACTCAACAGCTATTATAATTTTCGAAAACCTACATCACGCAGGCTTAGTCGTAGGTTTGATAATAGTGTGAAACTTTGCCAACTGATAATATCATAAACTCAGGATCTCACAAACTGCAGACGTATGTATATGCTAGGTAATAGATCAACGAATCATAAGTAATGAATTCAGCTCTTTTTAACGTCCCACTGCTGGGCCGGGCCTCCTTTCAATACAAGGGGGATCAGCCAATAGCCAACTATGTTTGCCAAGTGTAAAGTGGGTTGGTGGAATTCACACATCTTTTGAAAACTTACCAGATTTTCCCCGACATACAGTTTTAATCACGATTTTTCCTTCACCGTACGAAAAGTGATAATCATGTTAAAAATAAGCACATGAAAATATCAGAAGAGCCAGGCCCGGGATTTGAACTCACTTCACTCGGTTTCCGAAGCGAGCGCGTTTCCACTAGACAACCACTGCATCTAACAAGCTATAGCTATCTATTTAAAAATGCTCCATTATATTTTTATTACAATTTTGAGTAACATGTCTAAAGAAATTCGAGTCTCACTTTAGTTTCTACCAAGATTTCACGGCCGAGTTCACAGAAATAATAAGTACCTTTCTTCGGTCTTTCCAGCATTTTGAGCATTGAACTAAACCCAGCTTTATTCTAATACAAACTAAATTTAAAGTGAAAGGCCATTCTGGTCCAATTTTGCGCTTTTGAATACGTAATAGAGTTATCGGGGCAAATTTAAGTGTTTACATTTCGAAATGCTTCAATAGATATGAAGTGGTTCCAATATTTACTTTTGAACACGTCTTCATTTACAGATTTTGCTATTTTATTTGTATTGTTTTCAATTTGTATTAGCGCTTTTACAATTTAGGCGTGTTTAAGCATAGTTGGGGCTTAAATAAGATGTTTTTCAACAATCCTTGAAAAATAGAAATCTAAAAATATATGAAATTGAATTTTTTTATGATAGTATCTTTGTGGTATTGCCAATTGCCGCCATTTTTATCTAAACTGGTGATGCAAAATGAAATTAGTATTGCTAAATAACAAAGTAAAAGTAGCTAGGTTGAACCCCTTATAACCCACAATAGGGAAGATGCGTGTGATTTAAATAAAGGTTTAGGTCTTTTTTATAATATTTACTACTTTTGAATTAAGTCTGTATTTTTTTTTATTATAATTTCTTTTTGATTAAGGAAAAAATTATTAAAAAGTGCAAATATAGGTGGGAAAATCAAAGTAGTTGAAACACACGCCATTTCCGACCGAATATGACGTCAGAGTATACATATATCATAACAGAGAGATAAGTGATTTTGTCGCTATAAATTGCTATCAGCAGTACAGAAGATGTGCTGCGCCGACCCCAAGTGATTGGGAAATGGACATGAAGAAGAAGAAGAAGAAGTCGCTACAAAATGCTTGAGCAAAAGTCGTCATTTTTCTATGTGTGATATATAATATTTACTTTGACGTCACGCCAAGCGTGCGAAAGGGCGGGCGTTTAAAATATCCGTATAGATATATGATATTAAAAAAAAATATACTAAATTTTAGTTTTTTATAATTGGATTTTTTTTTACAATTATATAACGATATAAGTAGACTATAAAGTTAAAAATTAAAAAGAAAACACGCATATTCCATAATATATTTTTAATTTAAGCTCAGTTACAATTCTGTATTGTTCCTTAAATAAATACAATATAAATAAACGTCAACGAACAAATCGCCAAGCGATAAACATTAAATGATAATATGATCAGTAATATTTGACTATACTAGTATCAGTAATATTTGACTACACTCAAACGTCATCATTTCATGAAATAGCCGACTTCATGATATCAATTCTACGATGGGACAGCGGTACATGTATTTATATATATATTGTTACGTGCTATGAGTTCGGGGATCGGAAATTAAAGCATCTCAAAATTCGCAATCTTCACTTCGAAACTCAACTGATGTCTCGACACACTGCCGGCCTTTTTATATGCATAAACAAAGAATATTCTAGTATTCGAAAATTCAAAACCTTTCTAGTCATTTCGAATGTTAAAAATCTCTGAAAACTGTATACTAACAGTTAAAACGTATCTAGGGACGAACCTGAGCGGAGCGAGGGTGAGTTGCTTTTTATTATTTTATTTTAAAATGGCTGCATGGATTTGGATGAAATTTACACTAACACAGATATACTAAATTTAAAAAAAACCACAAGAACTACTGTTAGGCATCACGAGCGTTTCACCTAATGCGTTTGATTTCATAAAGTGAAACATTGTAGAAATATTTACATTCTTTTAAATTAATGAATATTTTCCTCCAGTTTTGATGTCCGAGGTCGCAGTTTTAACAAAGCCCTCCACTGGTCAGACCCTCTGGCTTTTGGGAAGAGGGCCAAATTCATCACCATGTCCAGACCTTCATCCCTTAACGTGGAAGCGGTACAGCTGGATGATGAAGGTATTTACAGATGTAGAGTGGATTTCAAGAACTCTCCGACACGGAACTTTCAAATACGCCTTAACGTAGTTGGTAAGTGTTAATAGTTATGGTATTCTTAAATGATAATATAAGACAACATACACCATCCATGCTAATAATTTAAATGCAAAAGTAACTCTGTCTGTCTGTTACCTTTTCACGCCTAATCCGCAGAACTAATTTAGATGAAATTTAGTATGAAGATAATTTGCGACTCTGGGAAAGACATATGATAGTTTTTATCCCGAAAATCACCCTTTAAGGGTGTAAAAAGGGGGATGGAAGTTTGTATGGAGAACTAAGCATTTCTACAATAACGAGTATATATTTTTTATTATATTAAGTACTTACCGTTTTTTCTATACCTATGTATGTACATATAAAATCTGTGCTATCAGATAAATAAATATCTTTTTAAATAATTCAACCGTATAAATCATGTTAATAAACTTGGACCTACAATAAAAAAACAGCACAATTTATATAAACATAACAATCTCAAGTGGTTAGTAAATTCTATTTATTTTACAAAAAATATTATTCTATAATCTAATTCCATTATACTTAATATACATATCACATCACTAGGGTTTCACCCTTGCTCCGCTTGAGTTCGTCCCTAGTTACGTTTTAACGCTTAATATATGTAGAATTCTCAGAGATGAGATATTTTCCCGCAGTAAAAACTATCCTATATGTTGACACGGATAACAGCTCTATCTCGATTTAAAACTTGCCATCGACACGAGAAGAAGAAGAACAGCTATCATAATACAGAAGAAGCATAATACAGAAGAACAGCTATCATAATCAAAATTTCAGGAATATCCGTCCAGTGGTTTTCTCATAATGCGTTTCCAGACACACAGACAGACAGACAGAAAAAAATTCTAAAAACTATAGATATATATGTATATAAATAGGCCTCTGTATCAATAACAATGACAATTTTAATAAGATTTTCCAAAAAATATTTAATGTACATATTCGGCTTAGTTACAATTTTATTATATATATATAGATTAATATGAAACAAAGTCGTTCAGTCAACATAATAAAATCAAATACGTAGTTAAAAGCTGAATTGACTTAAGATTCCTCGACTGAGCACTTACCGGTGCACCGCAGTGTTTGTAACTTTACTCAATCAGTCGACCAACTGGTTGGATGATTTTACTATCAAACCGAGTACTTCTGTCCTTGCCCTAAAAAGTTAATATTGCCCCTTTGCTGTAAAATAGCTGTGAATGTAAATTACAAGTCGTTGAAAGTAAGAAAATATATTATCTATTTATATTTAATTGCAAGCTTTTGTTAAGTAGATGGAAAGACTTATAGAAGAGTGTTGTCTTATATACATCGAAACATTGCGATTGGCTTCAAGGATCATGAGGTTTCGCAGCTAAGATATTGATAAATTATAAATTACAGGTTCACATAATACTTTCTTAGATTTACGCGAATGTTTGACATTATTAAATAAAACTATCTTTTCGGATTATTTCGCGGATTTATTTTGATTTTTGGTTCCCGACGTTTCGAATGCTTTACAGCATCCATGGTCACGGGAGAGACTGAGGTGTTAGATGTCTTAAAGGTATAGTTGTTACAGACAGCCTACCCACAATTAACAAAATGAAAATTGCACCAATTACATTACAATATTTTTAACTTTAAACATTTTTATAATTTTAATTATAATTGAATATGGAAAATTATTTATTTAATTTTTGCTATTATTTTTATAATTATTACAATTTTAAAAAATATTAATTAGTAATCTATATTTAGTGTTGCCATTATTATATTTAAAACCATAAATAAAAATATAAAAATATAGTATTAATTATTAAAGCCATATAATTGTTCTATGTGTAATTTAAAAATAGCAAACTAAATTAAAATGATTATCCTTAATTAATTTTAACTTTTTTAAATTACACATAGAACAATTATATGGCTTTAATAATTAATACTATATTTTTATATTTTTATTTATGGTTATAAATGTAATAATGGCAACACTAAATATAGATTACTAATTGATATTTTTAAAATTATAATAATTATAAAAATAATAGCAAAAATTACATAAATAATTTTCCATATTCAATTATAATTAAAATTATAAAAATGTTTTAAGTTAAAAAATATTGTAATGTAATTGGTGCAATTTTCATTTTGTTAATTGTGGGTAGGCTGTCTGTAACAACTATATCTTTAAGACATGTAACACCTCAGTCTCTCCCGTGACCATGGATGCTGTAAAGCATTCGAAACGTCGGGAACCAAAAATCAAAATAAATCCGCGAAATAATCCGAAAAGATAGTTTTATTTAATAAATTACAGGTTGATTCCCCACACAAACTTTTGTCCCCATTTTACCACCATTAGGGATGATTTCCGGGATAAAAGCTATCCTATGTCCTTTCCAGGGTCTCAAACTAACTTCTTACAAAATTTAATCTAAATCGGTCTAGTAGTTTTTGAGTTTATTCGTTACAAACATACAAAATACAAATCTTTGTTCTTTATAATAGTAGTGTAGATGTAGAAAATAATTTTTATTATAATTTTTATAATCCACTAACGTTTTCCTGCGACTCTGCTTATGTGAATCAATAAAATATTGATGTATTATATACAAACATATTATATAACAGTTTATGTATTACTTTGATGTACATATAAAATTTATTACGTAAACTCTCATCTAATATCGTTCAATAGTTTTTGCGTGAAAGAGTAACATACACACATACATCTATCCTCCTCACAAAGGTTCTAGCCGTACTTTATATTGTAGAGGACACCAAAAGTAGTTGATCCAATAGATATTAGCTCTATATCTTAGTTAATTTCAAAGCTAGCAAAATAAAAGTGTTACGAGTATAGTACACTTCTTTTGACAACACAGTTGACAGTTTAGTACCTTTTTCTTCTCTGTCACCCGATTTGTTTAATGTTATCACTTTATTACTTTCTTAGATTTTCGCGAATATTTGACATTTTAAATAAAACTATCTTTTCGGATCATTTCGCGGATTTATTTTGATTTTTGGTTCCCGACGTTTCCAATGCTTTACAGCAATCATGGTCACGGAGTTTGTAAAAGTATATAGTAATAGTGTTGCTTAGTTAGTAAATTGTCTTTTTAAATACTAGTAAACTAAATTAAAATTATTCTTCTTAATAAATTTTAACTTTTTAAATTACACATAGAACTTATGTGGCTTAAATAATTAATATTATATTTTATATTTTTTCTTTATGGTTATAAATATAATAATGGCAACACTAAATATATCTATATTAGTAATCTATATTAGTAATCTATATTAGTAATCTTACTAATTAATATTTTTAAAATTGTAATAATTATAATAATAACAGCTCAAATTAAATAAATAATATGCCATATTCAATTATAAAACTAATTAAAATTATGAAAATGTTTAAAGTTATAAAATATTGTAAGGTACTTGGTGCAATTTTTCATTTTGTTAATTCTGGGTAGGCTGTCTGTAACAACTATACCTTCGAGACATCTAACACCTCAGTCTCTCCCGTGACCATGATTGCTGTAAAGCATTCGAAACGTCGGGAACCAAAAATCAAACTAAATCCGCGAAATAATCCGAAAAGACATTTTAAAAGTTATCACAATATTTGTATCATCATCATATTTATACACATGGTGTCTGTTTTCTATTTTATGTCTATTTTTTTTGTGGTACATAAATCTATACTAATATTATAAAGAGGTAAAGTTTGCGAGTTTGTGAGGTCTCTGGATCTACTGAACCGATTTAAATGAAATTTGGTAAGAAGATAGTTTGAGTTAAATATACTTTTTACCTCGGAAATCATCACTTATGAGGATAAAAATGGGGACGAAAGTTTGTATTGGGAAGCAAGCTAGGGACGTGAGTCACTAGTAAAATAAATAAAATTAAAATGTCAATTATTCGTTTCACGTTTTAAGAAAATATTATTTTCTACGTAAATTATGTATATTTAATTAATAAAAACACCTCAATCCTTAATTAAAACCACATTCAAGGTCTTACATAAGTTGACTCAGAAAGTCTAATCAAACGAGGAGTGTTTGATCTATTGCCGGATCGCAGAGTTTACTTTATACTAATGAAGTGCAACGTCGAATCTATACTGAGTAGCTCCAGAACTACTTAACACTTACTCTTAAAAGATTTAACTAGCTTATTTCATTCGGTATTACTTACAATATTTCTGTAACTTGGAATATGCAAAGTAACAATTATTCAAAGCTTTTACGTATTGCTGATGTTGTTGTTATATACATTTTTTTGTCATTTTAGTTCTTGAATTCTAACACTGTGTAAGATATTTTTTGTTATACCTATTGTTTAAAAATAAATGAAAATTATACAATAATTGACAAACACATCGCATAACGTAAGAACAAAGAAAATACAATAAAAAAGTTGTATGGTCGGTGGTCTGTAGCATATAAAATTTTATTTTTACTTTTCTTTCATGCGCAAATGAAAAAAATATCTAAATTTTAATTTTCATAATACACAAAATAAAAATATTTCTGATCATCTTTAATTACAGGTCATATCACAAAAAAATAGCAGAAAATTTAAACGAATTACTTACGCTTTTCTTACTAAAAGAAGATTTGGCTTTTTTCTGTAAGATTTGACAGTTCATCTTCTTTTTTTTTGGACCACGCTGTGTAAGGTCAGCATAACTGAAGTATGTTCTATAAAATACATCGGTATATTAATCGATCTATCTCTATTTCTATATCCTTTCACATTCTCTCTTACGGTCTCTTAGAATAAAACCTTGTCGTCACAAGTGAATTACAGGTAGTTAAATTTGGACCTTTTCTTGAAATTTCATTATATACATACAGCTAAAATAGCATTTCTTGAAGTCGGTCAATAACAATAATAATCTTATTTATCTGATTGCTGATCCAAAATCTAAGGTAATTTTTCAATTATATTCAGACCCCTAACAGCTTTTGAACTTGATCCGAACTTTGCCACTATTATAAACCAATTTCACGCTAATATTTCAAATCAGTGCTTTGTAACTTTGTTACTTCGAGGGAGTTTGATGTTGACTTCACCAATTTCACTAATTCTTACGAATTCCTAATGGTTATTAGTCGTTATTTATGTATATGTTCTTCTTTACTAATTTTAAATCCATTATTTCTTTAAATCATATATTTCAAGGTGAAGTGGCTACTAAAAAAAATTGTTTAAATGTTGCTTTTTTTGCAAGTAATGTAATAGTTTTGTGAACTCGAAAAGGTATATTTGTTTGAATTTCTGTGAGTCACTCTTCATCTTATTTAAAACAACACTAATATTTATATCATATATCATCTTATCCCTTAAGTCCCACACTGGGCCCCAAACATCCCACTACTGGGCCTCCTTCAATGCGGCCATAGTCAACGCTGGCAATGTGCAGATCGACGGAAATATTTTTATGTACATATGTCTAATACAAATTTCATTAAAAATATCTTACTAATTTTGGCCACGGTGACTTTTAAAAGCTAACACACACTTTTAACTTTAACAAGAAAGAAATTTGAGGAGAAGACTTGCCACCTTTGCTATTCGAGTTGCTTCTTTTTGTTGATAGAAAAAAATCCGCCCTACCTAACCTAACTTGGGATTTGTACCCATATAATATACTTTTCATTAGACTACTAAGCTAGTTATTTAAAAATCTTCTTTAAAACTAGCTTTTGTCATCATATATCATACCAAATTTCATCAAAATCTGTCCTGTGGTTTTTTTAGTGATGCATTTCTAGACAGACAAACAGACGAAAAAAATGATAATCTCTATTTCAATAAGATTTTATGTATAGATAAAAGAAAAACATGAGTGTCTGAGTATGAAATAAGATAACTGTGTTATACTTGTAAGTAAGCCATTTAAACTGTTAAAGCATAATAATACAACATATACATACATACACTCTCTAACTCACAAACTTTCGCAGTAAATATATATGAAATGAAAAATATATATTCAAATATCATAATCTATACTAATATTATAAATATGAAAGTTTGTGAGTATGGATGTATGAATGTATGTTTGTTACTCTTTCACGCCAGAAAAGCTGAATGGGTCTGGATGAATTTTGGCACAGAGATAGATTATAGTCTGGGATAACACATAGGCTACTTTTTATGCGAGAAAAATTTACGGCTACCGTGGGATAGGTTTGTTTTTGTCTTCGTAGTAATTAATATTACATGCAAATTAATATGATTGGTAAATCATTTGAGAGCTTTAGCACAGAGAAGTACAACTTTGGTAAGGTTTCGGTAAGGCTATACCGCTCTGTAGTGTTGATTACCTACCCACATACATGGTAACAAAACACGACTAAACCAACTCAGTCACTTAACAGGTTTCATAATATGTTAGTTAAATTATTTGAACGATTACGCGCGATAATTAGATGTGGTGTTAAATCAAAATTATTTCCTTGTTAAAATATATTATGTAATAATTTTCACCGAAAAATTTGATTACATAATATATGTTTTATTTCCTTTTATTTAAGTTTAGGGTCTATTGATAGGTTTTAACATATTTAATAACTGCATCTCATATTTTAAAACGTTAAATTGTCATCACTTGTTATGGAACAACAGATGATGATGGCTACATATCTCTCTGTTATTTTCTAGGCTCTAGGTCAAACTGATAGACTAGCCAACTATAGGAGATATTATAGTGTTCGCTCAGACATAAGTGCACTCTCTATTCGTTTTCACTGTCAATGTCCGAACGGACGATACATCGACACGACTGGTGTGACTTAAGGTACAGGACCGACGGCATTACATGCTCTTCAAAGTACGGGGGTGAAAATGCCACCAACTTCTTATCAACTCAATACCTAAAAAATTCAATAACCAAACTTGTCCTGACTCAGGACTTGAACTCAGGACCTCTGGATCTGCGGCTGTACATACGAACTACTATACCGAGGCAGTTAGAGTGTAATGAAGGAACAAATACACAGACTGACACATCTATACTTATTATAAAAATAAGTCCCCCGGCCGCGTCTTTCTGTCCTCCTGTCTGTCCTCCTGTCTGTCTGTACGCGATAAACTCGAAAACTACTGAACGGATTTTTATACGGTTTTCAACAATAGAAAGAGTAATTCTTGAGGAAGGTTTAGGTATATAATTTATTATGCTTTTATGTAAATTAGCTGAAATACGGCGACAAATGTTGAAGAGGTCGCAAAAAATCTCGCCAAATGGGAACTTTCCACGCGAACGCCGCGTAAACTAGCAAAGATACAGTTAAGTAATGTACTAGAGAATTCAAAATCTATAAAAATGCTACAAAAAAGTCCGCGATAGCATATCTCTATCTCTTACGGTTGACTTACAATAACCACTTTTATGTTAACATTTTTAATTAAAAACATTACGTTATTTTCAAAGTTATTTTCTTTAGTTCGGTATTAATCCTTATCCAAATGAATATTTTAGTTAGCTTAGTCATTTAATGCAGATTAAAATTGCTCTTTACACTAAATCAATCAGATGAATAGTTTTTGAGATATCGTTGTTAGAAGTAATTAGTAGCGAAACATTTTTAATGCTTGGCGAGCATTGAGATGCCTACGGCGAGTCCATCCCCTCTGCCCCGCATCGCTCGACCGCCTGCTCAAGCTATATAAACCGGGCGATGTAGCGCGCGATCCTAGGATACTTTTTACCGCGGGAAAATATCTTATTTCTGAGGAAAAATACAAAAACTGCAATGTAAGAGTATACTAATATGTAACACCTAAGAATTTAGTTTTTGGTCATCTGAACGCGGGCGGAGCCGCGGGCAATGCTAGTATTATATAAAAGTTACACATATTATATTAAAGTAATAAAGCCTACTCTTTAACAAAAACTTTGTTTTCGACAGTGCCTCCTCATCAGTTGCTTCTATACGATGAAGCAGGACGCGACGTCGCAGGTGTGGTGGGTCCGTTAGAAGAAGGTGGCAACTTCACATTACTTTGCGAATTAAGAGGGGGTAAGTGAAATGAAACAAATTTTAATTCAATTAGACTTATTATAAGCACTTTTGAATTGAAAATTTAACATTTAAACACCGTCAGTGTAGTCAGTCCGTGAGAAAGCTATCACCGGCTCGGAAAGCAGTTCTGCTGAGAAGAACCCAAGAGAAACTCAACAGTTGTTCTTTTAAACATCGAAGTTATTAGTCTTATTTTATTTAATGAATGTTAAATGATAATTAAAAGTAATAACAAAATGTACGATTATAATGTTGAGTTAAAGGGAGATTATACGATTTTTTTAAACAAAAAGTTTTATCAGATGTAGAACATCTTAAAATTAGCCTTTTTAAAACACTATAATGCGCAAATGTTCGTAATTATCGCATTCAAACGAACAAAAAAATAATGATTAAATCTTCACGAAGAAAAAGAAAGAAGAAGAATACTTCTTCTATTGAAAAATTAGTTTTTGAAAAATACAAGAATTTTAAATTTCTTAATAATAAACTTTTCCCACACTATCGCCATAATAAGTGATTTTAAAATTATTTTACTGGAAAAAATGTAAATGTGTGGCACATATTATCCAGTTTCATACAAAAGACTGGACGCAAAAGCGTAATTTAAACAAATCATTTGAAATAGAGTCTACACAAGGGGTCATATACAAAAGCAGGTAGTCCCATTCATTAGGTGGAAGCTACCATTCACATAATATTGTACTGAAAAATAAAAACAGGGCAGTGAAAGAATTTTTTTTACATTTTTCCTAGGTAGTATTCTTACTAATATAAAAAATGTGGTCATATGTTTGTCTGGTTATTCTTCCTTTACCCAGGTTCAGCGGATTGACGTGATTTTTGCACAAAAGGAGTTTATTGGATGTTTTGAATTTGCAAGCAAAACCAGCAATACAAGCTTCTATTTATATTTTTTAAATTCAAATATCAAATAAACTTATTTTATAGAAATATCAAATTTCTTCAGGATGATGTCACTTTTAGTACCATCAACATACAACACCACTTGTAAAGAAAACGTTATTTATAACGTTAAAGTTTGACGTTACTTTCTCTTCGTGAAGTCTGATTTTGTGGACTTTTGGTGGGATAGTTTTTTTTACTATTTATCCGGACCAGCATCATTTGATCATTATTAATTAAATTATAAATGATTAATTACAGCAAAAAATACCATATGTGCAGAGAGAAAATAAAAATAAAATAGTACAGTGAAAATTAAGTACCTGGGCAACTGAGCTTCGCTCGGATTTCCTTTTTGTATGATCGTATTTTTTACATAAAACAAAAACTAAAACTTGAATAAACACAAAAAAAAACGAAAGTAAAAACTTTGTATCCGACCGGGACTCGAACCGGAGTTCGAGTCCCGGTCGGATTGACACCCTTGAATATCTATTTTGCGCCTTGGCCGCTTGACCACGATGCTTATGCCCGAGCGCGCGATGATATATATGCATATGTATACAAGTATCAAGCACAAAATGAAAGGTGTACATGTCTGAGAGAACATAGCAAGTTTTCGAAAAAAATGTGAAGTCCACCAACCGCCAAGTAGTGGTGAACTATGGCCTGATCCCCTCGTGTTGAAGAAAAGCCCAAGAGTGGGAACGTTAAAATGGCTGAATACATACATACAAATATTTACGAATTTCGGGTATCGAATCTTAGTACCATTAGGCAGAAACACTGCTATATCAAACAACATCAAAACAGTCGACTATTAGAAGCCTTTCAGTATAATACTTCAAAATATTTTATTTACGTTTCACCCATTGTGCTGTCAAGCATGATTGATACCACACTCTCGAATATATCTTTTCCATCAAAAACTAGAAAAGTTATAAGATATCGCGAGTAAGTGTAGCATTTGTGACACACCATTGCGTTTAGAGTGTCGCACATTCTCGTTAACAAAAGACAAGACAGAGTGGACTATTTGTCGTTTTTTGATACACTTTGGAGTTATTTTACCAACCTTTTGCAATATTGTTTTATCTCAATAATATGATGCACCGCTAAAATAATTTCTCTTATAATCTATTTTTTTAACATTTTAATAGAAACATAATACATATTCAAAATAGTCAGATCCTTAGTAGCTGCATTAGTATAAACTGAGTCGCGTTTGAAGCTATATTAGTAATAAATATTGAAATGGAAAAAGTTCTAAGCAAATGAGTGTATATATTCTTTTTCATTTCTTTCATTCATTCATTTCTTTTTCGGAATGGATGAGTTAATGATGAGTTTATATTATGGTGATTTGACATATAGGCTACTTTGTAACTCAAGCGGAAAAAAATATAGTTGAATCTGTCTAAAAACACAGAAATAATAGAATATGTCAAAAAGTTAGCTGAAATATTTTTTGATGATAACCGTTAAATACAAGTTATTTATAATTCATACTTAATTCAGCTATAATGTTACATTTATAGTAGGTTCAATTCCTACCCGTGGTAAAAGAACAAATGAAACGGTAAAGTTCTTTGCTTATGATATAAAGCTTATAATGTTAACGCTATGATGCAATATTTTCACTATTGTCCTTGCCGAGAGTGTACAACGAATGACAAGAGTTTTGCTATTTCATACCTTATTTGTTTGAAATACAGCATATTATCTATTGGATTTACATTTAAATTGTCTCTATTGTATGTATTGATTAATGTATTGTTTGTTGAAGCTAGAAAAATTGTGATGGATGTACAAATTTGAAAGGCATTAAATAAATGATTGTTATTCATAGAAGTTATTTTGTGTAGTAAAGTTTATTAAATGCACTAAAAACGCAATATAATTAATAAAACTTTAAATATAACCTCAATTAATCTCTACGCATTCAGCCATCCCGGTCATTCCAAAAAAAACACACAAAAATGTTAGTGGTGCTTGAGCCGGGTTCGAACCCACATCACTTGGCTTTTCAAACAATTTCGTTACCAGTGGGCTGCCACTGTCTAAAAACACAGATATAGAGTTTTTGATATCACTTCTCCATCGGTTTGATATTTTGATCAATTTGCTACGACAGTAATCTTCTATACATATAATAAAATTCTAACTGAGTGGAATCTGTACATTAAATATTTTTTGGAAGTCTTATTGAAATAGTCATTATTATCAATACAGAGGCCAAATCTATAGTTTGAAAAAAAATATCTGTCTGTCCGTCTGAGAACGCATCACGAGAAAACCACTGGACAGATTTTTATGAAATTTGGTATGATTATATGGGTCAACGTATATGATACCTACTTCTTACTGCGTTAAAAGTATGGGACGAACCCAAGTGGAGCAAGGGTGAATAGCTAGTATTTATATATAGGTAAAAGAAATTAATTATCTTAGTACAAATCGTCTGGAAAATTCCCAGCATTTCAACTGTGACATACTGAATAAGTAATTGAGTCAAAGCGAGAAATGAATTTTGAATGAAGTTATAAGAAAGTCTTAGTTTTACATCCAAGAAGTACCAAAGAACTTTATGTTCAGTGAGATTAATAATTTCAAATCAATTAATGGCGACGTTTCTCTTGAATGAGGTCATGACTTCATTTCCTGGTTGAAGCAACGAAATGTATGTCAAACCAACTTATTTAGGACCAATTTGAATACTTTTTCAATGTAAGGCAGTCTAGGGCATTCGTTTTTCAAATATTATATGGACCCTCCTTATTTTGTTTATAAAGATAGGGTTTTCACATCATTGTATATGTGTAAATACTTGGATACGTACGTTTAGTACATTTATTTTGTTTTTTTGGAAAAGATATAAAAATTGCTTTCTTTCTTCAGAAAAGATAACTACATCGATAAACTTAAAAAGTAACTTATCTAAATACAAAATATGATCCAAATCGTTAGAGATATTTCCAAAAATATATGTATACGTACATATATACAAGAATTACTCATTTAATATTATAAAATACTAGCGATTCACTCTCGCTCCGCCCGGGTTCGTCCCTAGTTACATTTTAACGGTATACATTTCTCAGAGATATTTTCCCGCAGTAAAAAGTATCTTATATCCCGGATAAGCAGCTATCATCATACCAATTTTATCAGAATCTGTCCAGTGGTTGTCTCGTGATGCGTTCGCAGACAGACAGACAGAAAAAATCTATAAACTCTAGATTTGATCTCTGTATCGATAATAATGGCTATTTCAATACGATTTTTCGAAAAAACATTTAATATACAGATTCGACTCGGTTAAAACTTTATTATACGTATAGAAGATACGGTGATACGAAATATTCATTAAAAATAAAACATGCACAAATGTAGTACTATTAAAAATATAATATTAATTATGTTAACGGTTTTTGTAAATTTTGTGGTAATATATTATCGTTCCATTATGTACTTGGACAGAGATAAAAATAGTGAGTATTCCGGGAATTGAAACTATCCACAGGGAATTTTTGAATCAAATATTTTAATATTTCTTTTTTTTCTTTAATAAATTTTACTTTACACTAGCAACTCACCCTCGCTTCACTCCAATACAAACTTTCATCCCCATTTTCACTCCCTTTAGGGAGTTTCCGCTATAAAAAGTATCCTATGTCCTTTCCAGGGTCTCAAACTATCTTCTTACTGAATTTCATCTAAATCAGTTCAGTAGATCCAGAGATTACCCTCTATAAAGTCACAAACTCACAAGCTATACCTCTTTATAGTATTAGTATAGATTAAAACCCTATAGAGCTAAAATCCGACTATGATATCAATATTACATGACTAATGTAAAAGCGAGTGAGAATTTTGAATCGACTTCAAGAGACCACTTGTGCTAGCTACCGTTTCCTAAACTAAGTTTGATCTTATTAAGAAACTTTAGCCGTTCTGTAACTTTATGAAAGGAAGGAGAAATGTATAGAGTCTACGTCTTTTGCCAGGTGCAGTGATAAGTGTCAGCTTATAGGAAATCTTAGCTACATTTAAATAATATCTACCATATAATGACTTTTGAGACATCGAAA